CCCTTGCCCAGGCAGGTAAAGCAGAGCAAGTGTCTGTCAGATGGGAGCCACAACTCCTAAAAGCCGCCGCCGATGCCCTCACGCAGATGGGAAAGGAGGAGGAAAAGGTGTAGAAAGAAGGTAGGAAATCACAGACAATTGGAAAAGAGCAAGGAGTGCTGGATAGGAAAGTGGCTGGAATTTTTTTTGTAAGAAAAAGAGTGAAAAACAGGTTTATGAAAAGAGAGGAACAAAGGGAGTTTATTCTGGATAAGGAGAGAGGAAAAACAAGAGAAAAGCAAGAGAAAGAAGGCAGAATACCTAAGGCAGAGAAGAGAGAAGCAATTCCTGTTCTAGGTGTGATGGTGGTTGAAAAGGAATGGAGGGGATAGGTGCAAGCCTCTCTTCATAATTCCTAGGAACAGGAGGGTTTTCCTGCCTAAACAAATGCTTTGCTATAGAAGCTTCCTGACAATAAGCTCTGTGCAGGAGCAAAGCCCATATGTGTAATGCACAGAGACCCCAAAGAATACAAAGTGACAGGTTAGCACAGGAACATGCCAGCATGATCAGAGTGTACATGCCACATTGAAACTTCTTGGCTGACTGCTATTTTTAACTCTTTTTTAAAGGTGTGGTTGGAAAGCACCTTTTCCAGCAGAATCCTTGGGGCTTTTAAGGTTGCTCCTGCAGCGGCCTGCTCCCATGTTCCCAAAAGGGTAGCACAGAGGCACCCTAATAATGCCCCCCCCCCAAAATCTGAAGGAAGATTGTTTTGGGGAAAATATCAGTGTTCTGCAGGATCTCCAGAAGATTTGGGGGGTGTGAAGAAGCCCCAACTGTCCCCTCATTTTTACAATTTATCCTGAGTGGATGGCACCTCAGGAAGTGGCAAAACCTGAGGGAGATCTGGGACTGGGAGGTGGCTGCAGGGCTTGTGACTTAAAAGGACAAAACTGCCTCCCCACATAGAGGCTTCTAAAGTTTGAGGCATCCTTCCCTGATGCAGGCAAGGTGTGGGGACAACTTTCTCAGTTCTCCCCAGTTGCTGCTTTGGCACGCTGGGGGGCCTGGGAAAGGCAGCCTCTCACTGGCCCCTTGGCTAGAGTGACAAGCTGTTCTGGCACTCTTGCCTAAGGGTGGTTTTGCTTGACCATGCCTTATTTTGCTATCTGGGTTCAGACAACCCAATTAGGTTGAACAGTTGGCAGGTTTCTTAACCATACTACAAGCCATGGCTAGTTCCCTGTGTGAAGCGTGTGGGTTCAGGCCACATGCTACTCCACTGCAGCTTGTAACAGACTGTATTTGGCAAACCCAGTCAATTACTGGATTCACATGATCACCACAGCACACCATGGCTTGTTTAATATCACCTTATTTCAGCGATGGTGGGTTGCAGCGGATGCCAGGTGGCTTTGGAATTTTCAAGTCATGATCAAACTTGTGTGTCGTTCATACCGAGCACCGCTATGGCGTCTGCGTGGTTAGCAAGCTGCCTAGAACCCATGGACTATTTAGTGCTGCAGGTGGTTCACTAACCGTGCCAACAACCCATCCTTGCCGGGTTTGGAGGAAATGGCAAGCTACCATCACAACTTCAATATTTCAAGTGGCTGCATGCATGCAGGTATCACAGTCCACCATGGGTTAAACAAGACACAGTGAACTGCTTGGTCAGGCCAATGCCCCATCATTCCTGCCCAAGCTAACAAAAGAGCTAAGAATGTGTAAAAGTTAGAGATTAAAGGAGGCCGTAGGGTCCACCGCTGCAAAATCACAGAAGGACAACCCTTGAACTTGGAACTGAAATCAACTACGTTCCAAACATCCTCTTGCTCCTCATTCCTCTAATAGGTAAATATCAGAGCTTTAACCATTTTCTACAGCCTGGTCTTCCCCCCTTCATCTCTCTACTCCACAATCTGCACTGCACTAGCCCATGCCGTGCATGCTCCTTTGCCCATGCTGTTCTAGCCTCCAAGCAGTGACTCCTGAGCCCTTCCCCTCTTGCCTCTGTTGCCAGCATAACTCCCCCCTGCCCCTGCATCTTTCTCTGCTTAATTCCTGGCTGCAGCTAGGCACTGGTCCCAGCTTAAGAGGGCTCCTCTGGCCAAAATTTCCATTCTGTATCAAAGCGAGTTGTTGGGTAATTTTGTACATATTGCACTAAAGCATTTATTCTCTCATCCATGTCAGTTCTTATTTTGGAGTTAAAATCCCCTGGGTTTAAGTTGAAAATGCAACTTGTAGCACAGCTCCCTGCTAGGTCCAAGAACAATTCTTGCAGGCATCAGTTGGTTGTAAGTGTACAGTTTCATGTCAGGGTACATGGAAGCAATGCAGTATTTTCAGAAACAGGGTCTTCTCAGCTCTGACGTCCTACTTTTGAACCTTCTTCATAACCAGATTCACCTGGCACCCACATTATCCTCTTTTAAACACTGGTCCACCCCACTCCATCTGCCCCAACTCACTGATGCATGCTTTTATCTCTGTTGGGTATTTAATGGGCTCTATTGATCAGTTTTACTACCTATGCTATTTTATGGTACTTGGGACAATATTATGAACTACCCAGAAAGGGATAGCATATGAACCAGGCTAACACTAACTAGAATTGCTCACAAAACCAATTTAAACCAGAATTTGAAAATACTTGTTTATAAGAGAATGGCATGTTGCCAATGCAAACGTAACTAGCAAGGTGCAAAATCTGAGTTCTCTGAATACCATCTCAAAGCTCATTGCAGCTCAAATCTGTATCAGATCGCAAGGTTTCTTTTTTCTTCCCTATGTGTATTCTCACACATATTTTTCCTATGTATTCACTGATCCACTTTTGAAATGTATACATTCTTCTGCCATTGATTAAAGTGTATTTGAGTGCACTTTTCAAAATAAGCATTTTTTCATGCACATCTTTCAGCATGCAGATTGAAGGACACTTTGTTTTGGTCTGCAAATCACATTGCAAGCTCAGAAGAGACGCAGACTACAACAGCAGGTTGCATGTGGGTCTGTGTTCATTTCAAAAGGTATAAACCCGAAAAACCTTGATCAGAAACAAACAGAAACAAATTTCTCATGCATCCCTAGCATTATACCATGGTTAAACAAGCCAGGGAAGGGGAGAATGCACACAGGACACAATGCCTGAGTCACCTTCCTATGCTCTTAAACATGATTAAGGCTGCTCCATTTGCACCAATGAGGGGTGGTGGGGCTTCCTTCGAAATCTGACACATCCAGACAGCGCAGAATGCGACTCAGGCAACTTGCAGCATTGATCAAGGGGTGCCCCCCACCCCAGTACACACATGTTAAACTTGCAAGAAAATTGGCCATTTTTTCTCCTTAAAAGCTGTAATAGCTAGTGCTAGCAACTTCTCCTATTGACAGATTAAAAAGGAACTTTTAAGCCAGAGCATAGGTCTGACAGGTGAAGGAGTATTACAAACACTTGTGCTCCATTCTACTTTTCAATTGTGCTTTCAGGAAAAAAAGTACCTCTCAGAATCATTGCTACATGTCAGAAAATACAGTGGGCTTGAGAGAAACTCTGGTATCAAGGCTAGATACAAAGGACAAACAGAGGCCACAGTAAATCAATTTACACACACACACACACACACACACACACACACCTCTCATTTCAGATCACAAGGGAGGCTCATATAACTGAACACTTCTATATATTTCTCCTATGTCCCACTGCATATAAAAGCAGTATATCTGCAGGTTTGTTTGGTGTTTTTTTTTTGCTTGTTTTGCTCAGCTGGGGCTCTCTGAGAACCATACCTACAGCCTGAATGTTCTACCAAACAGACTTTCCACTATTGTTTCTGAGAAGTGGACTTATGGCAGACTTCAATTAATTTCCCTGCATAGATTGGTAATTTTTCAGTCTTCCAGCCATTTCTGAGAGAATGGCTGAGTTTGCACAATGAACACAGCCCAGTGAGGCTTTAAGTCATGGTGGGTTGCAGCCTTGTGGCCATTTTGAATATTTAGGCCCTGTGGGGAATTGGCACAATCTGTTGTGCTGTCCAAACCCAGGGCAGCTGGTGCTTGAGGAACTAAATAATTCTCCAATCATCCATGGTCTTCTACAGGGTGAAGGTTATTCAACCCTGAAAACTCCTGTTTCTCAGGTTTGGATGACATGACAAACCATGGCATCCTTCCACCAGGTGCTGAATATTCAAAATGGCTGCCAGGATGCACCACAGCCCATCATAGTGAGCTGTGGTGAGCATGTGAACAGACTAGTGTTTAGCTAAATATTTGTAAATAAATGGAGCATGGATGAAAGAATAACCATTAATGCCTCCTACCAATATTTTCCTCTGCCAGTTCTTTGACAACTGTTCAATAATTAAATTATGAAACATATAGCAGTGTTATATATCCTGAAAAGCTAGGCTTGAAAAAAGTCTTTTGCCAGTTCCAGATTCAAAACCTATCAGGCATGAATTGACATGAGTTACTTTGATTCAGTTTTTGTATTGTTTGATGGATTGGCACAATCTGTTGTGCTGTCCAATGGTTTATGCCCCAAATGGTTATTAATGCCCCCAAAGGGGCATAATGATGCCAATGAATGCTTATTAATGGTTATTAATGTCCCAAAAGGTTATTAATGGTTATTAATGCCCCAAAAGAGGCTCAATGGTTATTAATGGTTATTAGTGCCTCCAAAAGAGGCATAATGACTCCAATGAATGAGTGAGTTAGTCCATATTCTGCAACCTTTGGCTATAGAACAAGATAAGAAAAGATATTTTAGGAAAGGCATCTTATGGAGCTGAATGAATAGTGAAGCAAATCTGAGTTGCAGGGTTCCATTGCTGAAGATTGACAAGGTAGCCTATTAACTATAGGGATCCTTGCCATGTTTTTGTATGATTTTGATTGTGCTTGCTACAAACCTGGCTCCAAACAGTCGTGAGTGGCTCAGCAGCTCATTACAAATCCCCTGAGCCATATACTCACCCCAAATACATTAATTTTAAGCTTACCCTTGGAGGCTGATGATCTTTCAAGTTGCAACCTAGGATTATAAGAGAAATATAGAACAGATTTTCTTACTAGATATTCAAAGCACAGATATTTAACCACCACCTTCACACAGGGAAGGATTCAATAAGTTCAGGATTTCAGCATTAGAGTCCCATCCAAAATGGGTGTATCATCAGGCTGGCTTCCAGCAAGATGAAATTAAGCAAGAAGCCAGACACTCTTCCATGTTCATCCATGATTTTAAGCAGCTCTGGGATGGTTTTTTCTGGATTTATGTTGTTTTATGTTCTGAAGTCAACATAAGAAGCTCCAGTTTGATGAGCATCCAGGAAGAAAAGCAAGCAACAGAAACAAATGCCCCAAGGGTAAAGGATATAGCAATGTTAAAAAGAGCCAGAAATTCATATACATTCTGAAATTAACAGCCCATCTGACTTATTTCTGGTCTCAAATAAATTGAATTTACCATGTCCTTTACCTTCTCTCTCCTAAAAGGAAGGGGAGAGAATGATGGAGACAATCCTTTGCAGGGTAGGGATATATCCTTGGATGGGATTCTCAGTCCTCTTTCCCACTTTTTCAGACCAGAGCAGCAGAGATATTCATTTAGGATGAAGCATCCCCCCTACTGGAGAAGCCACTAAATGCCAGTTTCACCCCTTCCTTGCTTTGATGCAGATGTCCCATGACGCTGCACGGGGGGGGGGGGGGGGGGGGGGATCTGCCACAGCCCGCCCTTCCTTTGCTCCATTTGCTAACCTTTCCTTTATTTATACATGCACCCATGTATTCACACTTTTTGGGGATAATAAGCAGAGAATGGCCCACTCATTTTTGGTACCACTATTATATGACCCATCCAGGGATATATTCTGCTGGATGAAACAACACTGGCTCCTTACTCTGGTGTGCTCATTTTCTGCAGTTGATGGAGAAGATCCTCTTTCACTCAGGTGTGAGTACAGGGCATTCACACTGTGAGAAAGCACTGCCAGTTATTATTCTTTGTTGCTATAGAATCAATGGATGCTTTGCCTACTTTGGGGTGAGGAGATTTTTCTCATCTTTAGCTGTGACATTTGATGGAATTGGCAATAAGCTACCCCTCCACCTGGAAGTCACTTCATGCTAATTTTAATATTATTGCCTGTTTGACCAGGAGACACAGTCCATCCAACAATATCTCCTATCCAGTGCACAAAATCAATGTGACAATCAAAAATTCATTTCCCAACGTCCCACAATTATTTCTCCAACCCTACTTTTATGTTTCACTTTCCCTTTCCCTCTTCCTCGTCCTCCCTCAAACACCTTCCCCCCAGAATGAAGTCAGTGACCTGGTTTGCATGAGCACAGAGGTAAGATGAACCACCCCCTGCATGTGTTGCTCATATTTGCAGAATTGTCCCTGGCAGTGTGACTTGTGATATCACATGAACCCAGATGAGACGACTTACTATCATGAGCCACCCAGAACATTATCAAGGTCCCACAGGACATGCACTGGTGGTGGGGCAAATGAGTCCGTGTGCCCATTCATCCCTTTATGATTCTGTACCAGGATGCCACTGCAGGAGACTTTTCCCATGGAGAAAATTCCAAAGCAATGGCTGTCCCTTTGAATATTCAAATTTCAGTGGAGCCATGTCCTAACTGGTTGTTACATGTGAACCTGGTGAGAGTGGGCTGGTGGGCTGGTTGAGAGCTGTTTGCAGAGTTGTAGATTGCCTGTTGACCATCCTAACAACCCACCATACCAAGTTCACATGATGTGATGACTGCTCAGGTTAATAATGCAAATCGCATCAGCACACAACCTATACATACAGGGGATTGCTTGCTACCTGTCTGGGATAGTATAAACCAGGCCACTCACTCCTTTCTTGATGTGACTACGTGAGCTTCATTATGAGCAAGTACCAGGTCATTTACTTTGGCCCCAAAATTGGATTGCTTGTGCTATTGGGCAACTGTGCAAGGGGCTTATAGGAAAGAAAGCTTAAATTTTAAACAGTTTGCAGCACAGTCTCGAGATAGAAACTCATTTTCTTCATGTGCATTGCACAAGCTTCTTATAAAGAGGAAATGAGCCCTCCAAGTCACAAAATAATTTATGTTGCATTGATGATTTTGAATTACGCCTACCCCTCTACATGGTTCCACAGGGAGCCACAGGAATGGGGGGGGGGGGGGAGGGCTGAGAATCAAGAATCCTATTGCACCCATGCACATAGTTCTGTGGTTCTGTGGATTGTTTTCAACACGTAATGCAACTATTAATTTGGTTAACGGACCTCAAGGCCAGCTAACAGAATGTACTATGCAACCTTATTCATACTAATATATTGTTGTATGTAGCTCATATTCTCCTTTCAATGGGACCGCATTTTGATTGCACACCTATAAAGCAATTTGTCTGAGAAATCTTGATCATACCTTGGTATTCCACATACAAAACAGACTTGATTTAGGATGCAATCCTGGGCATGTTTGGACACAAATACATCCTGCAACTCCCAGCATTCCCCAACCAGAAAAAATGCTGGGAGTCACAGGACTTATTTTTGTCAAAACATGCACAGAATTGCTTCATTAGGTAACTCACCGATTAAAATCCAAACCAAATGCTCCTCAGATAGATCACCACTCTGAAGCTGGGAGAAGATTTTGTCCCATTTGAGCCGATATGCTTCCTAATCATTCACTGCATATGGGATAAGTCTCAAAATTCCTCACACGCAGTTCAAAGCAAGAATATGGACAAAAATGGTGATCTGAGCTCAAATGCACTGCAAGGATTTCTGTAGAATTCTCTTGCTGGACATGTAGACCCACCCATCCTTTGCAACTCTGAGGATCAAATTCTCCCATTCGCTTCTCCAGCAATATTACATTCAGGTGCAATGGGAAGAAAGGAGGAGTATGATCTCCAACAACCATAATGGAAATTATATTCTGGTAATCATGACACGCATCCCAAAAGGGCACACTCTAACCTTTATTTGTTAGGGTAACAAAATGGAAATGAGTATTTTATCAACTTTCCTTTGTCATCCAAATAATGCTGGATCATTCCCCAAACTTTTATCTAATAGACAAAGGAAGAAATCTACTGGTCAAGAATCTCATCAAGAATCTTCTCAGCAGGACAGTTGTGTTATTTGAAGTTAAGAAAAGGAGTTAAAGTGTATTTTAAATAGAAGTACTTACCAATAACTAAAATATAAATTAAGCCAATTGCTGCTACAATATCAATAATCACTAAGCCTGCAATGACGACAGAACCCTGTTTTGGAAGGCATGCTGTTGGGGAGAAAATGGATACTTAGGTTAGGATTAGTGCTTTTGTTTTCTTACTTTTAACATAACTTGTAAAGAGCAGACCTGTATTTTCTCAAGTACAACTGTCATAGTATGATCATTACTTCACCCTGCATCAGACAAATAACAGATAAAGAGATTTCCTGGTAGAAATTATAATTCTTTCCACTCACTACTACCTAAATATACCACAGGAAAGGGGGCATCTTGAAGTTACACAAGGATCCTTGACTGTAACACTTGGGTGCCTGTATTGAATAGTAAACCAGTATTGCTATTTAAACTGAGTCTGCATCTGAACTCTTTGTGCAACAAATGTGGGTGGATACATGCTAAAACAAGCCGATGTTAAAAATTCATCATCTGTACCCAGAAATTGCTTATGCAGAGCACAGTTAAGCTTGAGAGATCTTGCTCAAATGTAAGGCTGTATGTGGTCCTAGTCATGGCAAAATCTCTTTTGCTAAATAAACACTGTTAGAGTATGTGTGCATGTGTATGGAATGTCTCTTTACAGCACAAAGAAAAACAAGCAGCAGGAACACATCTTCCAGTTCTTGCGTGTCTCAAATGGGCCTTTGGAATCCACAGGAGCCATTGCAACCCTGAGCTGGCCCAATCTAGTGGGAAAGATGAGAGGCAGGCACCACCAGCAAGCAGAACAGAGCCAGCCAGTCCCACCTTATTAACCAAGACCAAATGTGGCTTTAGCTGCTAGCACAAGTCGGTGATTGCTCTACTGCAACCAAAGCCAATTTATATAAAACTGACTCCAATAAATCATGTTTCTGATAAACAGCCTTCTTATTTCACCCATTGTAGTTCATTTTAAAAAGCATGCAGCACAAGGGATATGATCCTTCTTTGTTTCTTTAAAGGCCTCCCTTTGCATGGAGGCATCCTTTTCTAATGTTAAATTTAAAACTGCTGCTGCTGAAGTAAAAGAAATCATGCAATGAAAATATAAATGAATATAAAAGAACATTCACAACTGCTTCTCCAGAAGCACCAGAAACTGATTGTGCACACACAACCACAAGCATATTAAGCTTGTGAGCAAAATGATGGTGGTGGTGATCAGCAGTAGTTGCGGTACAGTTTTAGGATATGCAGTTGCACAAAAGGCAGTAATTTAAAAGCAACCACTTTAGGTCCAGCTTGCAAGACAGAGGAATGCACCGCATAGCCATAATAATACAAATGTAACACCAGCTCAAGACTGTTGTTTGCTCATGACATAAAACAGGATTAAGTATGCTCAACAATTCTATTCTATAAAACCCTATAAAACCCTTTGTGGGTTGAACAAACTCTTCGCGGATTTCACAGTGTAGAAAAGCAGTTTAGCAGGATACTCGCCAGTGTGTTGGCAAACACATTCTTCTCAACAGAACAAGGGTAAATCAAGTCATTGGAATAAAGGTGTAAGAATTATTAATATGATAAAATATACTTCTTACCTGAGTCAGACAAGGCAAATCCAACCAAAGCAATTAAATATCCAAGTGCTTTCAGAGCTACCAGAATAATTGCAAAGAGTGGTTGTTTCTCAAAAACTGGGGAAATAATCATACGTTATTGAGAAAAGAATGGTAAGACATAGGAGATACAGAAATGAAAAACAAAGTGAATAGGAACTTTCTGAAATATAATATAAACCAGGGCAAATGCTTGTCCTATGTGGAATGGGAAGTGAGCAAAGAAACAAGCAGAACTGCCAAATGAATATGCTCCCAAGGGTAGACATCTAATCTAATATTTTATTGCACCACAATAGATAAAATATATTCAAACCAGCTAATTTTCAGCACTTTGTGTATGCACCTGCTTATGTAAGAGCTACAAAAAGTCTTCTCTAGCTGAGTTTGTCTCTGATGGAAGACAGGTACAGATGCCCAAGTTACCTTTCAGATTCAGGTAAAGCTTCAATGAATGGAAAAGAAGTGAACAAAATACTCCCCAGAACCCCCCTGTGCAATGTCACCACCTGGGGATATGATGAACCTCAGTAATGTAAAGTGGTCCCTGATTTTTCCTTATGGGATCTCAAAACAGACCTTGTACGAATATTGTACAAAGCTATGGCATTTCCCCCAAATCTAAGGGCTTCTTCCCCACCTTCACCATCCATAGCATAACATATTTTAATAATAATCTCAGGAACAAGTAAATTGGAAGATTCTCACCTGATGTAAACAGAAAGTAGAGAAGGGGCACTAAAATGATGGCAGGAATTACAATCAAGCCAAGACCAACTAGAATTGATGCTCCATATGCATCTGTAACAGACCAGTAAAAATATGAGGGTGGGGAAGAGATGCTTTAAGCATAAACAAGCCAAAGGATACTTCAATCATGATATTTAAAGATAATTTTAGATTCCTTCTAAGCAGCTTCCCTACCTAAGTTTTCGTCCCAGGGTATGATGCTCTTACCCTGGCATCTTGCAAGCCATGAGGCTCATGCAATAGAAAATGTAACATGACAACAACGCTTATCACTGAATCAATGCATTATTTTGTAAATAGACAGATTATCCATTTTAATCTAATGAGTCACCATTCACTATTAGTTCTTAGCAGAGAAAAAAAATATCAATATTGAAAGAAGACAAGGAGAGTATTTCAAGAACTTTATCCTTGAAAATGTGCTTAACTGTATTCTAAAGAAGCAGGGAATTATGAAGGTGGCCTACTTATACGTCCCTCAGGGAAAGCCAGCAGAAGATAAATGTGATTTTTCTGTTAAAATTTTTACATAACAGGAAATTATGCACACTGTAGCCATTGCAGTTAGAAAAAAGACAGGCAGGCAGGCAGGCAGGCAAATGTATTCATATCAAATAGGATACTACTATATCTAAATTTGACACATTCCTTTCACTTGACAGGTTTAGGGTGAACATTGGATTTCTACGCCAAGTATTTTCAGTTTTGGCTGTTGCAGATTGAAGACTATTTGGCAAAAACCATGTCCCTTCCCACCATCACTGACTTTCTGTTTACTGAAAATTTTGTTGTTGCTTTATTTATCTTTCAAAAGAAGTAGCAGTAGTAGTAGTAGAAGAAGAAGTGGAAGCAGCAGCGTGCTGCACAACAGATGAAATAAAACAAGAAAAAGCATTCAGAGTGAAAAAAGAACATGACTATTTGCTTCCTGAATATAATCTCAAAATGGTATCTGTGTTCTGAGTAGCGCCTGGTACAATGTTATGAATAAATACATGTTTAATAGTAGGAGAAGGAACATGTGCTGAGGATTTGAGTTCAAAAGATAGCTGCAGACTAAGCCTTGGAGCAGGGCACCTGCTAATAAAGAAAATGAAACACTATACTTAATTTGCTTCTCAGTGACACACTGTAATCCGCTCCATACATCATTTATATTAGCTGCCTGTTTTTATCTGAAAGTAGTTCATTAGCCATGTATTGTGGCCTGTCAAATACTTGACCAAACCCACTTTTGCACTCCGAGAAAGGCAGCAAAACCATAAACCTTCTATGTATGGCTGGTGGGCCAATTCAGCTTGAAAGTTGTAGAAACTCAGGATAATCCTTTGTTCTGTGTTTTCCATTGTGTTCCCCTTATTCAAGGGAACCCCACAATATGTTCACACCATCACTGTAAGCACACACAAGCTGTTAATGGTCTTCAAGCCATTATCCTTAGCAAGTACATATGTGAACAAATATATTTAATTATCAAACAACTCGCTGGTTTAAGACCACAGATTCAGGCTATCTCATGATGGCTCAAGTTCCACAAAGCCAGGAAACTGGAAGCTGATAACAGACATGCCCTGTGATGACATTGTGTGCTTGTTTACAACTTACTCACTAATGGACCCACAATTTTCCTTGGTGTTTCAGGCCCAAATCCTGATGGAGAGGATGGAGTGCTTGGGACCAACCAATTTTCCCCATTTTGTCCTGGTTCCTCTTACCTTGTGAAGCATCTGAGCATGTGCAATTACAAGAGGACTCCTCCTAGGAGTCAACCAATGCAATTCTTACTTACATCAGTAGCTGGCAGGGAGGGGCTAACACTGAGAGGAGGCTCTCTGCTAGCAGTAAGGCTAGATGCTTCATAAGGCAATACAGCCCTAGGGCAACCTGGGGCATCTTTGCTGACCATGGAAAAGTGTGGTCATGCAGGGCAAGCTGTAAGAAAGCAAAACTTCTGACATCACACAACATCATCACTGATCACAGCTCTCCTCAGTTAAGGCATCAGCTTCCGTTTTCCTGGCTTTGTGTAGCCAGGGCCAACTGGAGATGGTCTTAACTCTGTTCTTAAACTGGCCATTTTTAAAACATGGAATTTCCCTAGTTTTTGAAGAGGAAATGTATAACTCTAGTCTTGGCAACCCTACCCATGCCCCAAAGTATTTGAATCTGTGAGTTGACCTCTGTGAACTTCCACAGATAGAGAAGGCTCTCCTCTGTGGTCAGCCACACTCTGCATGAGAATGGGGTGTGGGGCTGGCATATTCACCCCACTTTCCATCCTCACATGTACACTCTGCATGATGGGAGTGACTTCAGACTAGAATCCCACAACCAGCTGAATGAGTGCACACAGAATATGAATGAAGTCCAGTTAGTACAACATGGGAACATGGCCTAAGCATGAGACATGATCCTTGTATGTCCCTTTCCTACCACAAAGGAACGGCAAGGCTGGGGAGTTTGGTGCTGCACTCCTGCTTTCTGAATTGGATCCTTCTGCTCCTCCCACCTACGTGCTCCATCACTAGCCCTGCTAAATCCTGAGAGTCAAACTGCATGCTGAAACCTAGGTTTGTTCTCCTATTTTTCTGAAAAGTAAGTTTATGGGGCCCCACATGGGTTATAGTCTTGGAATAGTCTCAGTTCCTTCACCCGATGCCTGTATTGACATCTGTTTCTCTGGTAAAGTAAATGGGAGGCATGGGTGCATGTGACTTACATCCATGGAGGAAGGGAACAAAGGCTTGAAGTTTCCTGCCACTGCAACCCTGATGCCTGGGTCCCCTTTTTGTAGCAATGTATAATCTTACTTCTGGGGTCACATTTCATAACCAATAGTCATGGCCCATCAAAGCCTTCCCTCATAGAAGTTCAAGGGCAGGTGCTGCTGCATTCTAGCATCAGTGTGAAACGGAGTATGCCTCAGATAACTTTGCCAGCAGTTGCCCTCATAGGCTTTCACAGGGCAAAAAAGCCCTTAAAACTTTTGGACTGCTGCTTACAATGTCACATGCCAAAACAATGGGCAATAGTAGCTTCCCCAGAAAAGGCAGAATAATATAAATCACAATTTCTGTCATAATTTGAAAGAAATTTTATGCTATGCCAAATTACTAATGGGGCAGGGCAGGGAGAATGCAAATATGCCCATTTATAACACTTTTTAACTTGCTGCATCTTGGCAGTTTTTTGTTGAATTGAATTGAAATTTTAAACAATTGTAGACCTTATCAGGTTTATGGATTCCAAGTTTTGGTTATTAGCTCAACAGATGTTACCTTTATAAGCAGTAAAATTTTGAGGCATATAATGGCAGAATTTTTTTGATTATGAATACTTTGCAATTCACCTTAACTAAACTAACTTACACATATGCCCCTTTAGTTATTATGAATTATGAACCTTATTTTGCACTGGAAACTCTTCTTACACAAACTGCTTTTTCACCCTAAGCAAAAGTCCCTATGCAAATTAACCTAATTTCCATAGAAAAATATTCTAATGAAAAATGTTCTGAAAAGCCACCCCACGGGGTGAGATAGGAGTAAACCTTAGGCTTGCATCTTCTTTCCCTGGACATGTCATTATTCACAGAAGTTCATTATTCATGGCTTCTCAGGTTCCAATATTTGAACATAGGATCAAGACCCCGAGATACAGATCTTACTTTCTTTACTGTAGTTGAAATAATCCGGTCAATAGCTGGCAGTTTATCACACATGTCATCCTGTCAGGATGCTTACCTGAAGCAAAAAGTATGCTACCAATCACAGCAAAACCTGTGACTATTATTCCTGGAATACTCAATCCAATCTTCTTACTAAATGTCACATCAAACTTAATCGCTTTGAGAAAAACAAGAGAGAAAAATAACAATTAGAAACTAAGCACTTAGAAATACACACTTATAAATTTTGCCTGCTTGATGAACATTGGTAAAGTAATGTTGGTTAATGGTTCAGTAAGTGATTTTGGGCAACATCAATTATAAACAAGTGCACACAGGAATGCTTATGCGGATTTACTCTTTGCAGACTACACATATTTGAAAGCGGCCAAATAACTGCATCACGAAGTGAGGTAGACAAGGGCAGTGGGAAAAGTAAATACAGTTCTAAGGGCTTGTGGAGGCCACAGACGTCTGGAGCAGAGGAAACACGTAGACTTTCTTCTTTAATATGCGGTGGGTAAATTGTGTTATTGTGGAACTTTCCCCATTTGAAATCTAGTTTTACAAGGATGTTACACAATTACAAATGATATTTACCAAATTTGGAGTGCTTCCTGCAGCTCTTCCATCCTGAAAGTGCAAGTAGGCCATTCTACCAAATAGGTATAGTTTTGTATATACGTGTAGGTTTGAGGCCAACATTCACTGGCATATACTATAATTTCCATGATATCACTAAGACACATTCTCGGTTGCAGATTGAGTTTTAAATATCACAAAGATAAGTGTTGGCAGAGAATAACTGCCTACCTGCTTTACCGCAGGATCAGATTGTGCACAATCATTTCCTCTCCCAAGATCAGAAAAGGGGGAAGGCGGAGAAAGGAGGGTCCAAACTTCTCTTATAACCAATCCTAAGTGAAACAAGACATCCCATTCCCTTATTACCTATGTACAATTATCATACCACTGTTGCAGAATCAGGACTGCTTCCATAATAACATGGAGGAGAAAGTCACTCTTGCAGCTCTGAAAAATCAATGATCTGTATAATCCGCAAACCTCCAGGTAGGTTTCATTCTGGTAAACTGGGAAACATTGCTGCAATACTACACTGTCATTCAATGGTGCAAGACTCTTTGGAGAAACTATATTCCACTCTCAGCTATGCAGTGTTGATGATTACCAGAAAGAGCCACAGCACAATGACTACAAGTGGTGGCACTTTTTTTCTAATTCCTTTTCAAATTAAAACTACTCTGCAAAGAGCAATTTATGCTGTCTAGATCAGATTCTGAATTTTTCTTTCTGCTTCAATTGAACATGCTGCCCTTTAAAAGGGGGCAGTTAAATTTGTGCTGGAACAAAGGTAGTTCACTTCAAAGGTTGACAGTTCATAGGTTTACACAGCACTTTGGAAAGCTCTCAAAGAGAAGTAGTTGGAAAAATCGTGTGCTCACTATCACCAGCCTGGCTTTCTTCTGTCTTAGGCACTGTTTAAAACATGCCAGTTACATTTCTATTCCAGAATCTCTATTGAAGATGTTCCTTGAGGTAGCAAAGGTGCAGTATGTTTTTTGGTATTTGGAAAAAAAAGAGTGGGAGAACCCCTCCTAAGTACAGTTCTGAAGGACATCTGAAAGTGGAACAGTCATTTCTTCCTATAGACAGTGGCTGGTTTCAGTTTACCTCTGTAACACAGTGATAAATTGGAAATGCTTGGCTTGGTTACTATGCTGACTGTTTACTCTACTAGTGTACTATGAAATAATGCCTGTAGGCACAGGATTCAGAGTCCCAAGAAATGCTACATCACACAATGTAAATATTCTTTAGCACAAAACGGCTGTATCCAGCTTAATAACAGATGTCATATATAAAATGATCTTTTACGCACTTGGGCTTTGAAGATGCATAGCTCACATTACAAGCTCCTGCACCAGGTGTTAATGCATGAATGAAATTTTAAATTGTAGAATTTTAAATTGCAACCCCTTAAACAAAAGATTCAGGCTCCTTCTGTACCCTGATGAATGGCAAAAAATGAATACAGGCATGACTCAGTACGGAATGAGAAACAAGCTATGACTGCCCAGGACATTTGACCCTCAGCTGGCGCTGGCTAATCACTCACAAGGCCAAGCGATTTCCATACTAGCTTTGATCCTGTTTCCCAAAGTTGATACCATTTATTTATTTGTTATATGCATTTATATACACACATATAAGTCAGGGGAGCTTACAAAAATGGTGTACAAAAATAAAGAGGAAAAAAACTGTTCAGGTGACTGTTCTTGCTTTATGGTAAGAAGCAAAATTAAAACAGTAACAAAGTCTATACAAATAAAACTTGGGAAAATAAATATTTGAATAGCAGCTTAGGGGCAAAAAAATGGGTGCCAAGGAAGTCTCTCTGGGCTTCCTCTATTGAGAAAGCTCTCTCCCAGGCCCACTAATAAATCCAGGGCTTTTTTTGTCTTAGAATGCACCAGAATGACGTTCCGGCACATTTTTCCATGTGATTTTGTCAGGCGTAGCAGGTTGGTGGCAAAATCATTGAAACAGTGCATGTGGGCTGCTTGTGTGTCCGCGCTGGTTGTGATGGCGCTGCTTGGCTTTTGACACTGCTCGGCTTGTGATTGGTCATGTGGTCGCACGCTGAGTGCTTACTGCAGGCGGCGACCATTATGTTTCATTACACAGTGTTGGTAGAATGACTGGCTACTTGCAAAAGGTAAATAATTTCTTTATTTTAAAAAAAGTTGGTGAATTGAAAATCTTTTTTTAATTTTTAGTGTAAAAGTTTGACCCCAAATTTAAAAATGAAAAAAATTCCTAATTACTTCTCAACCACCAGTCCTGCTAAGAAAAGATTACCCTAAATAAAAGATTAACAAGATACGAGTTCCAGCACTTTTTTTTTTTTTTACAAAAAAAGCACTGAATAAATCTATTTACATACGGGAAGGTACAGGTGAGCCTCCAAATATTCTGGTCCTAAGCTGTGAATGGATTAAAGGTCACTTTGAATTAGGCCTGAAAATGACTGGGATCCTGTGCGACTTGTATGGCTCAGGTAGTGCAATGTGATTGTAGCACCCAATCCCAGCTGGGGATCGAACAGACAAATCTTGAATAAACCACAGTTTCTCGAACTGTGCAGCATATGGAGGGCAGGTTCATAACCATAATGCACCACACTGCTAATAAGCCATAGTGGATGGGTTGTTCACTGAAAACCCATGGTATGCCAGACAATCAGGCTCACCATGGAGTGTTCCCCCTTCTCCGCTTCTTCCTCAGTTCGCCAGTCAGCTCTGACTCATATCCCAGCATCCTTCACAGCAGAACCTGCACTGTGTCCCCCTCCACATTCCCTTTGTGCTCACTGACATGGTTGGGTCATTCTGCTGCCTCAAAAAAGTATAACTGGGGCTGAATAGGGTTTTGCCCCCCCTGGTTCCTGAAGTCTGTACAATTTTTCAGATTTACATGTGCACATTTATGGCAATTTAAAACGCGTAGTCCTGTACTCATGGTTATTTGATGCATTGTCAATTTCCCTGTCTGTTTCAGCTGTCAAAGGGAGGGCAAAGTAATACTGCTTATGGGGTAATTTGTGCACAACTGCTGGTTGCAATTTGCCTAGCTGTCGATAGAAAAGCACACCAAGAGCAAAAAAATGGCAAAAAGAAGATGCACCGAGGCGGGGGCGGCTGACTTCCCCTTTGGCAAAGTAATCCCCTTGATTTTAACTGCTTAACTGACAGTTGCTCCTCAGTATCTTCCAATTTTTCAACACTTCCTCAATTCTTCAGCTGCTACAGAAAGGGAAGATATTAATACCCCTGCAGTTCCTGCAACTGAACAAATGTCTCCTCTTTTTGTTTCCCAGCTCTTAAATTGGTGTAAAGCTAATGTATTATTCATGTGCCCATGTTCCTCTGTCATTGACTTCTGTCAATGAAGTCACCCTGCTGCCACCATGAGTATCAACAACCCTAACACAAGCCATGGGTTCAGACTAGCTCGTTCATGAACATAGGCCACCTGCAGAAACTACGCTGGGTTCAGATAATATGAGACGCTGGCATGGCTGGTTACTCATGGTTGGTTGCCATATCATCCAAACCATGTTGGAGAGATACCAAACCTGGATGATACCAGACCTCAACTATTCCTGTCCATATGGGCTGATATAGCACCAAGGGACTTTAGAGTGAAGTAGCTCACACTGCTGCATCTAGTGAAGCATTCTGGTGGGCTGATAAACCAACTACCAACAGTACCTGAATCTGGTTTGGACTAAGGGTTTATTTATTGGTCCTTATCCATCACCACAGCCGGACAATGATCCACAGCACTTATTCTGAGTAATGCCAGTTAGATTTTTTTTAAAATAGAGTTGGATGTCTTCTGCATATTGATGACAGTACCCAAAACATCCAAATGATATCAATCTGCATACATGTTAAATAAAACATTGTAGAACCCAAGAGCAAACTGTGGGTCACCCAATCCAATTCACTCTAATCTGGAAAGAATGAGTAAACAATGGAATTAACATTCATTCAGAGTTCCGGGGAAACTGTTTGTGCTTACTCAGATTGCTTTGCCTAATCCCAGTAAGAGGAAATAACTTCCATCTGGGCCCCACCTTTTCCCTGCAAGAATTCCATCATCTGTTACTCATCATCTATCCTTATTTCATTCACACTGGCTAGCCCAGCACGTTAGGTCTCTCCTCCTGAACTCTTGTTTACTCAGCACTTCTCATGGCCTGAGAGGGTGTCCTTATCATTAATACTGATATTAATGCTAGACTACAGCTCCCCGCCCCCCACCCACTGGTAGCTCAATAGTCAAAGGATGTGGGCCATTTGGGGAACGTGGGGCTTCTGCTGCCCAAACAGGTGCTGAGCCAAGATTTGCTTGTAGAGGTTCTGCATTCTCCCTGCAAGTCTTTTTATCCAGACAACCATACAGATTGCTATAGCAAATAGGCAAGTTGGCATAATCCTGAAAATCACAATTGGGCTGAGCATTATCACCCAAATTCAGGCAAGGTTTCATCTCCATCCCCTGAGAGAGTCCCACCAGCTCTTGTCCCCTGCTTTCCTTATGGAGGCTGCAGTGCTCCTTATCTCTTGCTTGTCATGCTGGACTTTGTTTTTT